CACATCGTATACAAATAAAAAAACGAGAAATAATCTAAAACTAACCAAAATTTTCATACTTTCAGCACAATAATAAATCCAAAAACAATACATTCTAAATAGAAACTTTTCAATTCTCATTATTTCAGCTGTATCCAAAAGCAGCGCCAAGGGAAATGACATCAATGATTGTCTTCGTAAACAAAAATAGTAAACTCTTTCCTTTGTTTCTTCATATATAAACAACAAAACAACCGAACATACAGGACAACTGACCCGAGGCAAAACTTACAGGAAATATAGATCATGTTAAGAGAAGAAAAAGAATCTCTCTATATAGTCACGTCCACCCTGACTCATACCAATTACTCTCTTGTAAAAGCTTGAACTGATAAAACATTTCCGTTGTAATCTATACACAGATTTGAAGCTGCACTTCGCAAACACGAGCAAAAAACGCTAAGAAATAGCTTTTAAAAAGTTGAATAAGAAAATGGCAAAAAGTAATCACAGAGGCCAACCGAAGCTTCGCAACAATTGTGATAAAATTAGAACATTGTATTACAAGACAATGATGGAAGAAAAAAAGCAAGCCACTATTCGAACCTTAGTAACCCTTAATTGTTTCTCTAGTAAAATAAGTGATTAACCGCTAGTTTAGGGAAGATACCTATTACCCGTTCTTAAAAACGAGCTCAAAACGAAATTGGGCAAGGTAGAGGATTTTCCCGAGACAATTTCTTTTGATCAAATTCGTGATAGCGAAGCCACTTATTCCGGGAAGATTCACAAAATATGTTTTTTTTTCCGATTTAGACAAACATTTCGAAAAAGTTGGAAAACGGCAAAAACTTCAATATCTGGACTTTTCCATACACATAATCTCTTTTCTTACAAAAACAGCAGGAAGATTTATCGCAGCCGGTGAATTCGATGGAAACCTCAATCTCAGATTTGGTAGTACAGTTTCAAAGAGAAGTCAGAAAGATTCCTAAAAATGAAAACAATCAATTTTGAATTTTCCGAGTTATAATTTCTTTCTACATAAAATAAAGAGCACTGGCTGATGCAGCGAAAAATCCCATGATCTATTGCTTCTATTGAACTATTAATCTGAGAAATATTAATCTGAAAAAAAATATTCATTGAACTATTGATCTGGAAAAAAAAACGATCAGACCTTTCTAAAAAAACGGCCAGTTTCCAAATCACGACCAGTTGACTTCTATGAGGGCCATAACTTTTTCAGCAGAGATTTTTTGGCATAGCGCTTGCGCAGGCAGCGAGCGTCCCTCAACCGATGCTTTTGATTGCACCCAAAATCTCAGCTTTGGGTGGGTAGTTTTCCAAATGAAAAGCTCCAATACAATTGGGTCAAAAATGTTCGAAGGCTGTAGAAAAAGGGTTAAGGTAGAAAAAGACTAGTGTGCAGGCAGACAAGAGAGCGGGCGGGTTTTTCATTGGGACCATTTTTGGAAAATCAGTAGGTTAGTTTTTGGGAGTAACGACAAAACATCAAAAGCGTCAAAAAAATGATACAAACCAAACCCTGTACATTTTTATATCTATTTTTTTTTGAAGTATGAACCTTTAAAACCGTTAGAAAAATTAAAAACCCAAATTTATGAAAGAAACTGCCAATTGCATAATTTAAATTGTATTTGGAAAAAAACGGAAAATCAGCCTCAGAAATTGGGACGAAAACCACAAGTCAAAAAATACATAGATTTTTTCAATACAAAAAACTGAGCAAATTAAGGACTATTTCAAACGAGCTACGGAGTAGTTTTATTTGTATTTTCAAGAAATTGAGCAGATAAGCAGAATTTGCAAGAAAAAATGTTTACGGGAAAAACTCTAGTTCACGATTACAAGTCACATGGTCTCGCAAGTGAAAATATTAGTGAGCAGTGAAAAAAATCCCTCTGCCGGAATTGAACCACAGGCCGCGGTCATTTAAATTGATTTCCCTGCAGTGTTGCTTAAAGAGCCACAACGCTAGCAACCCATAAAGCGGAGAACACATGCTTTTTTAACTGCCATTACTATGCAAAATAACAGTAAGCAGAAGAATTTGCCAAATTGGATTGGAAAAAATGGTTTTGTATTATAAAACAATACTTGCCAGCTCACTTTTGTAAACAAGGCCAAGAAACAGTTGGAGAAGTGTCAATAGAATCAAGTTAAAACCAATAATAAATTGTATTACTTTATCTTAACAATTAATTTTTTTTCCAACCTATCAAATTTCGAAGAACAAATAAACCTCTTTTAAGTGCATTATATTTCTAAAAAATTTTATGCCTTACAATTTTACTTAAAACTAGCATAGATGGAGAAAACTGGATCAAAAGTAACTTGTTTATTCCGCAGGGAAAACTATAAAATAAAATTTACTTTCGAATCAAAACGTTGTTCACTTGTTCGCGCTATTTTCGCTTTCTTAATTGGAGAGCGCAACTTTTAGTTAAAGCAAATTTATTTCGGTTGAACTTGAAAAAGCCAAAACGCCAAAAATCTATTTCGAGCGTGATGAAAAAAATCACGACCTATATTGGCACTAACTTTTTGGTAATCAAAAAGGTAGTTTATGAGAAAAACTAAGTTTTTGAAGAAAGAGAAAAAATTTTCAAGTGTCTCAAAAAATCAACAATTTCAAATCGAATACATTTATATAACACATTTTTTTCAAAATAAACAAATTGTTTGAATCAACAGTATAAAAACTAAGCTTGGAAAGAAACAGCTTGAAAGCGCACCATATGATATAAATTGCATATGGTAAAACAAAAATCTGTCGACAAAAATCAGGACGAAACCGAAAGTCCGACAAAATCAACATTTTTCAATAATTATATTTTTAAGATTAATTATGACCTCAAATCAACAAAAAAGTATTTTAATTTGAATTTTCAGGAAAATGAGCATGGCTGAGCAGCAGCATAAAAAAGAAGCAGTTGTAAGAAAGGTTGAGAAAAAAGCCTAGTTCCCGATTACAAGTCACTTGCTCTCGCCAGTGAATACACGATACAACAGAAAAACAATTTGGCGGGTATTGCCTTTGCGTACGCGAAGGGAGCAGCAAAAAAAACATTCATATTTCAGTCTACATTGTTGCTTCAAGCTTTATTTTGTTACGACAATTATTCAATTCGCTATCGATGTCATTTTCGAAAATTAAATTTAAGGGACTTTTTTTTCAGTGTTGTTGTTGTTTGTAGCCGCTATATCTCTGTGTCGTCTTCCAGTCTGAGAAAAGTGGATGCCTCCACTGGTTGTTTCCAGAGTGCATCAACCGTCAAATCAGTGGGGTTTGCCGCGCAATCGAAAAGGTGCTGGGTTGTGTGGCCGGGATTAATGCAGTTTGGGCAGATATCTTCAATTTTTTCGTCTATTTTTGACATAAAAGAGTTTAAAATACGACAGTATCCGTTTCTGAGTTGTGTCAGGCGTGTTCTGCAGACCCTTGGTAGTGAACTTTCTGTTTCGTGTATTTCAGGAGGTGCGCTTCCGTAAACAGGGTTCGGTCTGAGACTGCTGCTGACTTCGTCGACGGTCTGTGTGTAGGACTTTTTGTAGTCTTTTGGCTTCTTTTTCTTCAATTATTTGATTTGGTAGCTGGTTTTCATATTTGTAGAAAAGGTCAGGTTTCATCTGAGGTCGGTGCGGGAGAGCTCTTGTGGTCAGAGAGTGACAGGGGTGCCTCCGGTTGTAGCAAGTGATGGCGTACTGTTTGGCGAGCATGTGGGTGTGTTCTTTAATGGGCAGAACGCGTGCTTCATTGTGCAGCTCGTCTATGTTCGTCATGTTGTAGCAACCTGTTGTGATACGTAAGGCTTTATTCTGTGCCAGTTGTAGTCGTTTCCAGTGGCAGTCTTTGATGATGGGAGCCCAGGTGGAACAGCAGTAGTTGATGACAGATCTGCTGGTAGCTTTGTACAGAGTCATGAGGGTTTCGCGGTCACTGCCCCATGCTGTACCTGCCAGAGCTTTAAGTAACGCATTAATCTTCTGAGCTTTGGCTGCGATGTCTCTTGTATGTGGTCCGAAACAGAGCATCGTGTCCAGGGTAACTCCAAGTAGCTTGGGCGTCTTCGCGAGTTTCAGAATGTTGCCTTGCACAAGAACCTGAGGGTGCTTGTTTGCCTGAGCAGACTGAGGAGTGAAGAGGGTGACTTTCGACTTGTCTTCAGAGATGGTGAGGTTCAGTGACTGGAAATAGTTGCAGACCGTCTCAATGTATCTGTTGAGTCTGTCAACGAGATCTTCAGGGTTAGGACCCGACATGTAGATGGTCACGTCATCAGCTTAGATGATGACCTTGATACCTTCTGGAGGCACTGGGAAGTCGGCCATATAAAGGTTGAATAAGGTAGGCGAGAGGACACCGCCTTGGACAAGACCAGCGTGTATTTTACGAGGCTTTATTCTGTTTATGAGAACAGAAGTGTCCAGCGGGTTCTCAAGTGTCCAGCGTTTGCGTCGCGGAACCACCCGAGACCTCCTCCAAGATCTCTCGGCCAATGGGACACAATCTATCCTCTATCTCTCACTTTTTTTCAGTCAAATCAAATAACGACCCAAAAAGCATTAATTCATTATTTCACTTGAATAAAAAAAATGTTTGCTCAAAAAACCTGATTTTAAAATTCCTTCAACCATTATCTAAGGTTATGTTCAACTTCTCGACAGGTCGATACACAGGTAGCTGCAACATTTCAAACCACTTTTTCTTGACACCGGAGAAAAATGGAATAATTTATACATCGCTCGAATCACGAGTAAAAGGGACTTGAATATCACCTAACACTCGAACCCACCTGAAACTTATTTCCGGTACATTATTATGCCTAAACCAAACAAACTCGAATCATTTTTCTCGCGTCACTTATAACGCATGATTCGATAACGCATGATTATAACGAAGGACTCACTCATTAATAAAAACCATATGAATTTTATGTGGTACCTTTTCAACGCCATCTGTTAAAATAATCTTTAAATTACAGAATTTATTGCTAATAATGTACAAATATGCTGTCTAGTATTAACTAATGCAACTAAAAACTTCTACGTCAATGTATCATCACGAAACAAAAAAATTAGTTTATTTAAGATAGAACAATATGTACAGCTAATCAATCTATTTTGAGCATATTTTTAAACAACTTCTCATCTGCTTTGTCGTTTTCGGCCTGGATTTCTTTGATGGAATTAATGAATGAAACTGCAACTTGTTCCAAATTCGGGTTCAATTCCATCGCTTTTGTCATATCATCTATCGCTTGTTTGTAATCGTGCACAGCTTTGTGAGCCTTTGCACGCTTGAAGTATGCCTTAACGTTTTCTGGCTGGTGTTCCAGAACTTCTGTGGTGTGGCAGATGACCTTGTAGAATTCTTCCTTTTCGAAACAGCACTGTGAAAAATTCAACAGAAGAGGACATCTCGTGTCTAAAACAAAACTAATGATGGCTCTTTTTAACTATCAAGCTCTTATTGCATTGAGGGGGTGAGGAGGTCCGTTAATTCACACACGCTTATGAATTGTTCCTTTATAGGAGGAGATTCGTTACTAGGTGTGGGGGGATAGATTGCAATCTATTTAATTTTCAACAATTAAATGAGCTTTGATGAAAACTCTTTCCGCGGTTCATGGGTAAATATGCCATTAGTCTTTACCAACAGTGGGCTTGCCTTTTGACAAGATTATTTATTCGCGGTAGGGGTCAATTTTCCTACTACGCATAGTAGCCCAAGACGTAAATTGATCCTATCTGTTTCGATTGAAACAATACAATGAATATTTTCCTTCAAAATATGCAAAGCCGAAAAATCGAAGACTTTAAATGTCATACTGTTTAATTTCGTGTGCTCAGACGAGCCTGGTTTCTCTTTCAAAATAAGCTGATCCAACAGTGCGATTGCTTCGTAGTACTGTTTAGAGGCTTTATCGACGTCTCCATTTCTGAAGTCCTCGTTCCCAATTTCCCTCAAATTAGAAATTCTTGATATTTTCTCCTGGTCTGACATTGTCCATGTTTCTTTCTCGTAAGAATCTGGTTCAAAACGCTCGAGCAGTTCAAACTGGAACACAAGATATTTTGGCGGATTTGATATGAGATGATCCAAGTCGTGATACCCCACTGAAATGTTTTGAACACTCATTCCACAACAATGCGATTCGGGTTCTGGATTAGCGTTATTCTCAAGCATGATTTTCCTGTAAAATGTACTTCAAACAAAAGTATAACCTCTAAACAACTGTACTTAAATAAGGCTTCACAACACTGAACTGTTTCCTATTGTGTAAAACAGCGTCCTTTCTTTCCTCAAAAATTATAATTATATGATTGCGGAATCACATTGCATGAGCTATAGCTTCAATCTATAAGGTGAGCGCTTGTTAAAAAAAGCCATAGCTTAATGCGCCCATGATGATTAAGTGAGCTCTAGTTTAAACTTAAATAAATAATCTCCTGTTAGGTTTCCGGGCTGGTTGAAATACAGAAGTAGTTTGAATTACCGTAGTTGAGCCGCCACTTTGGGATAACTCATGACCAAATGGAAAGGACAAGTGAACTCCGATACTTCGCCTACTTTCATTGAAGCCAGAAAGGTCTCCCATATCTCGAGCTTGAACTGATGTCCGTAGATAAGTTCCATTGGCTTACTCCAGAGATGGCTGTCATCTAAAACAGTCTATAAAATATTTTCATATTTTCCATTTTCCGATGAATTAAACCAAGTAAACAGAGCATACATTTTCGGCCGCATCCTGGAAACATTTAACATGAAAGACGAATTTGGTTCCTTTCCCGGCCGGCAAGACGTCAGTTTCCTTGCCGGGTTTTTGTACACGTTTCACGACTTCGTTGTGGATACTGGCCATATTACATCTGAAAAAACTCAGTGTGACATTCGACCAGAATGGACGAAAATGCAGATTCGGCAATTTCGAATTATTAGCAGCTGACCTTCCGAATTGGCAGTTTTGAGTGATTGGCAGTGTTCTTGGAACGATTGGTCAAACTGTGCAGGCTGGAATATTCTGGTGTTTCGAATTTTTGGAATTTCGAACGATGGCGTCATGTTTCTGAGAAGCGTCGGGGTCGGCCATTTTGGAGGAGGTCCAGAATTGGGACACAACAGCAATAGTTGCGACGGCGACAACTACGATATCGTGATAAAAAACAACGAGAATTGAACGAACAGCAGAGTTAGCAGAGACCGCTCCGAGTTGCAACGATTGTGTCGCTACAATCGTTGCAAGGCCGTTAACAAGGGTGAAGGGTAGAAAAACAGCCTTCCGGAAAGAATATAAGGGTGTTATTTCCCCGGATTCAGGAATCCAGAGGGGTCTCGGGACTCGAACTGAAATCATTTTATATAAACTTTTAGCTTCCCTATTATGTCCTGAGTTGAATTTAATTAAAATCTGGATTCATTTTCTGACGATGAGAAGCTAGGAGTTAAGGGGAAGAGGTAGATCCATCTTCGATGCAGACGATGATTTTTATCTACTGAACAAAAACAATAGTAATACAATAAGTAGTAGTAGCCCTGTTTTTAGGAGTGACCTCGTCGTCTGGGGATACTGAGACCCAGCCATGAGCTCACTACTTTTACATGTAAATAAGTTAATTTGAGCGTTCTGGTCGAAGCCGGAGAAGAGTAACGTTTTTGTCGACCCGATGTTCGAAATACCACCAAAAGAACTGGCTTTGGTAGAGACGGTGAAAAGCATGTAGAGCTCTGTTTAGACGCTGGCCAGTCGTTTTATAGTTTAGCTCTATTTTCCGTCGATATGTACTTCCGGGCGAATATTACATAGATGTTTTTATGTCGCTCCTGGGTGGGAAAAACATACTGTAGAATCCTAGTGCCGTCACTAGATTCACCTCGGTCCCTCCATGGCAATCTGCGATCAATTCCGTTTCCGTTCTTGCTTTCATCACAATGTTCCCAAACAATATTGTCCACTGCTTGTGTTGTCTCTCTAGAGTTTTCACGCAATCCAGACTTCCACAAATGTGATCTTCCAGTCCACAGACTGCTGCCAGACAGCTACCAGGTTTAACCCAGTCTTCTGGTCCCCAGCCAGCAACTCCACTTTGTCTTCCCCGTTGCTCTTAGAGGCTGTTGTCATCACATTATATATGATATTAAGATCACACAGGTTACAGTCTGCATTTAGTTCCCTCTGTACATCTTGTGTTGCAAGTAGTATCGAATCAGCGTTGGGACTAGGACACCACGATGGTCTCATCAGTTCCCACACTACCATCAAGCTCGTTCTTAGTAATTCATCAGAGAATCCCAATTCAAACTCCACTCGTTTGTCGGATTCTGGCACGGAAGGTGCAGCTACCTTTTCTTCTAAGACTGGTCCCAGCTTGGTCTGCGGATTAGCAGCGCTTTTAATCGTTGCAATTCTCGACGTCCAGAACCTCAGCAACACTGCTTGCTCGTAATCAAAGAAGTAATCGCGTATGTCTTCTCTGAGAAACGGGTTGTGCGCCATCCCTATGACTCCGGACACGTAACTGTTTGACTTCTTTCTGATCGGTCCACAGTATTCATTGGATTTTGGCAGTGCTCCCAGAGATTCCTTAGTGAGCCTCAGCTTCTTGTTTGAGAATCTCCTGATTTCGTCTATTTTCCTCATGGGTTCTGGTTCCACGGGCTCTTTCATGTTCACTTTCATTGGTTTGCTTTGATGTATATCCAGCAGTGCTAGCAAGAGTAGGGCTCTCACTCGTTCATCGCCCTCTCTCAGCATCTTGACACAAGTATTCAATGCTGGCACTGAAATTTGGGAAAAACCGGGAAAAAAAGTAAGCGGATAGAAGGGATGTACCAAATATCAGCGGGACGGCACTGCTAACAACAGTAATAACGCTGTATTAGGTCTAGCAATGATCAACGGGCAGTCCTAGTTGATTCAGTCAGCCTTATCGCCGTCGCAACTATTGTTGTTGTGTTTTAACTCTGGATTTTTCCAGAAAGAGTGAAGAACACTTTCGGAAATATCTTTCCATTCACCATGGGAGTGGGTACTGGAGATGAAGGTGAATCCCAGGAGGAAGAAGAGGACGATGATGAGCAAGTTGACTTTGGATACTGCTGAGAAAATCTTTGAGTGAACTAGAGAGATCACCTTTTATTTTGGTTAATAAAAATGGGCTTCACGAGGGAAGATCTAAAACCGACGAATCGCCGACTCACTGCTAAAATTTTGCTAAAAACTATGCTATTTGGACCCCTCCGGTTTGATGAATCCGCTAAATCAAACCCGTTAAGTTCGATTTCTCCGTAACCCGCAGCCAACCGGGTTACAGAGAAATCGAACTTAACGCGTTTGATTTAGTGGATTCATCAATCCGGAGGGTTCCAAATAGCATAGTTTTTAGCAAATTTTTCGGCTAAAGCGTTTTAGATCGGGTTTTTTTGCATTGAACTAGAAGAGTATAGGCCTTCTGAGCTCGGATCATCAATTTTTAGATCGAAAAGAACATAACTGCGAAAAAAGTTAGGCGGAACCTATAAGACTTTAGAAAAAAGACGTTTTGCTTTACAACTTTGGAACCACTGGACAGATCCAGTTGACCTTGATACCATTAGATTAGAAATTAGCTGAATTTACTAATAAAAACATCAATTACTCAAAAAAGAAAGCATAAAAATTTTTCAGGATTGTTCTTAGCAAATTCACCAATTCGGGAAGATAGACCCTTCACTTTTTATAGAATGTTTTTTTGGAAAGCCCTTACACCCCTACCAAAGGGTAGAAACGGTTGAATCAGGAAATTTTACGCTGTTCTAGACGAAAAGGGAAGGATAAAGGCACAAGAAAACCTTAGTGGAGCCGAAATTAGGCTAGCGATAAGACCCTTCACCGTTAGGGTGAATCATCGAATAAGAGGCTTAACTTCAATCCGGTAGGGTCTTGGGAAGGACGACACATCCTTCCTAGTTGACTCAAACAGCAGAATAGCATCGGAGAACGTATCCGGAAGGGTATAGGTTGGAAATTTAGAAAGCCTCTGAGAAGCTATTTTTACGCACTCGGAGGGGCCCCAATCTGGAGGGGTCTAATTTTTTTTTTACAAAAACGGAGCGGTTCCAATCCTGAGGGGTCTAAATCTTTACAAAACAGGAAGCGTCCCAATCCGGAGGGGTCGCAAGTTTACCAATCCAGAGAGGTCCGATTTTTGTCAATCCGGAGGGGTCCCAATTTTGCCAATCCGCAGGGGTCCCAAATTTTTGTCAATCCGGAGGGGTATTATTTTGTCAAAACTTAAGAAGACAACAGAAAAAAAAGTAGCTAAAAGTATTAGGTTATTAGGAGATAGGCTGGGAACCAGTGACTGCACTGGTAATTTGCCTTTTGTAAAAAACCGAATAAAAACAAAACAGGTTTAAACTCGGACATTCGCGACACTAAGTCTAAACTGATCAAGAGTGTGTAATTCATAAGTGTGGACTCAAATCAAAAACGTTTTTGAGAAAATCGACTGCCCTGAGGATTTTAGTAGGTCTTGTTCGGGCAGTCCGAATGCAGATAGGTAACACAGGACTCGGTGGGTGCAATGGACGCCCACTTGAGAAAATTACTGCCTTCAAGTTTTGTCTGTTTGGTGCAGCACCAAACAGGGAAAGCTCTTTCTTTATATACAAGTTCGACTATTGTACTGCGACTGACTAAAAGTACAAAGCACCGACATTTTTCATAAAAATATTCTTATTTTGTTACTTCTGGTTTTAAATCAATAATTTTTGTGCTTGATTGGGTATTGAACACACTATCTTTCAAATAGACTGATATCATCATACTGTGTTAGCTTCATACCTTACAATTAATAATCGATTATTGTGGATAAGTTGTATATACGCTGTACCGTGATAACGTAAGAGGATTCGTGGTCACTATTTAATAGAAACTTTTGGAATTTATTGTGTTGTGTTATTATTATCAGTAGTCAGATCAAAAGGACACTAGCAATCGAATTGAGTGTATAGGTAGTAAGAAGTGTTAAATTGAGTTTGAGTCTAATCAAGTCAAGGATACCTAAACTAGGTGATAGCTACAGGAAATTTATACCGGAAAAGCAAAGAAAAGCAATGACCGACCCTTTTGTGGAACGGATCACACGAACCCGGACCGACAAAGGGGTGACGGTTTCAGGCAGAATGGTTGAAGCCACGAGTCAAAAGTCCTCAGATGAGCGAAACGCTATGCTAGAAGTGGAGGTCCATCCGGACCAGGCCATGATTGAAAACCGGGAAATACATGGACCGGAGGGGAGAGACAGAAGGCTGGCGAGTGAATCTACTCCGGTAGAACAAGGCCAAGATTTTGCCACTTCCACCGGGACACTGGACCGAGAGGAGATGTCGGAACTGTTCGACATCTCTACTGAAGTTGTGGCAACTAGAAGATCTCCCACATACAACACCATGATGGCAGGCATGACGGAGAATTAGGCAACGTCCTCATCGTTTTCAGAAAGAGTGAAGAACACTTTCGGAAACATCTTTCCATTCACCATGGCAGTGGGCACAGGAGATGAAGGTGAATCCCAGGAGGAAGAAGAGGACGATGCTGAGCAAGTTGACTTTGGATCTCGAGTCAGCCTCAATAGTTCGACCCAGGAGAATGAGGCATACACCGACAGAGAGACTGGAACCATGGAAAAATTTGGTGTGGTGAGAACGACAAGCAAAGACACAAACACATCCGGCCAGTCAAGAGACTTTGTGAGTATGACAAATTCGGAAACGCGAACTGGGGAGAATAGAAACATAGGGCTAAGCAAACGCATCGGCGGATCCAGAGGTGGATAATGAAAAGACGTCGAGGCAGAGAATCAAAGCCCGAATCTCGACCAGTACCAAGCT